CTTCAAAAATAAAAAAAAATAAAAAGAAAGAAAAGCAGGCGTAACTACCACAAAAAGAAAATAAAAGTAATTAAGATATGGTTTGAAGCAAAGCAAAAAGCGACCTACTTTGAGGATCAACAGGCATTTCCAACTGTATTGAGGATGAGCCTGGAAAAAGTGCTTTCGAGGAGATTCCGATGTCTACGGGTTCGATCTCATTCCTTTTCGCTACTACTTCTTCCACGAGAAGTCGCAATGATTGGACATCCATGTCCTGGAATTAGACACATAACACTACGACAAGGATAGTCATCAGAATTATACATTCATCATTTTATCATTGATTTGAAACATATGACAGGCTTGATGCGAAATTCTTTCGATTTTTCAACTTATCTTCTTTACTAAACACTAAACAACAATAAAAACCGTGGATTGAACTTCGTAAATGCAACTGGTTGGAGTACCGTTTCAATTGCTCAAAAAATTCCTTATTGTTCTACCGTTATCGTACAAACCAAACAAAGATGATTTGAGATATGTGCAGATGCTGGGAAAATTATATGTGAGACGTATCATGCTTAAGCGAAAAAAAAACACTATTAAACAAAAAATACTCGAACAAAAACAATGCTAGTACCTTCCGCTGGTCCACTTTCACGAGTTCGTTAAGGTACTGACAGGTTTTGCGCCAATGGAAAAAGAGATTGTATTCATACTTGTATGTCTTTCCGCACAAAGGACATAGATAAGCTCCAAAAACCTAAAAGGAGTGGATACTAGCGAACTTACAAAATTAAAACAAAAAAATCCGCACCTGATGAACAGCTAGATGTCGCTCTAGTCGAGCTGCATTGACAAACGACTGCTTACATTCCGGACAAACAGCATTTCCATACTGCCTATTTCTGCTCTTGAATTGTTCAAGTGCTAAATGAAAAAATCGGACCCCTACAGCTTTGTCTGCTTTCAGTAACAAATTGATAAAGAGTGTAACCAAATTGACTACCCAAGTCAAAATAAGCAAAAAGGAAAAAAGTTGCTTGCACTCACCTGAATGTGGCATAAAATCGGTTCGATCAGAATAAACCAAGGCACCATCCTGAAGTTGAAAGGGATTTTAAAGAAGAAAAAGACTGCTAAAAAGAACCAACTTACATCCTCGCCACTTTCTCCCCCATAGGTTTCATAACCGTCCTCAATCAAATCTAATGACATCCTATAGCAACTGAAAACGAACTGATTAAGAACAATCTCTTCCTCTATATGAAGATGTTTATTTATCTTCGAGGGAACAAAGAATACGCGGATATGGACAAACACAATTTGCCGTGATTTTCATCGTTCTGCGCATGCACAGCCTGCATGTGACGGCTTTGTGCAATTGCGGGAAAACCGTTTTGAGGGAGGAGGGGGG